CGGCCTGTTCTGTGCGATCGTCTTGCTGTTTCTCATGCTTCTGTTTGTGATCTCCTCGATCGCGTCGTGTAAATGGAGGATGAACAAGATCCTGGGCTTCACGATGTTCCTGCTTTACTTTGTGTTCTTGGTAATCAGTGTGATGTTAGAAGATCGGATCATATCCTGTCCTGTATCTGTCTGATTCAGCCACTGATGTTCAAGATGCACACAGAGCAGAAGACCATGACAGAAGTTACTGTCCCTCTTACCAGACCAATCAAATAATAAACGTGATCAGGAATGTGAACTGGGCAGCGTAGACCCTCAGGGCTGACTGTCATCATGACTGTAAACACCTGCAGCTTCTGGTGGATTAAGAACATCACCTTGGCTGGGCGGTGGTGGTGCACGCCTTTAATCCCAGCACTTGGGAGGCAGAGGCAGGCAGATTTCTGAGTTTGAGCGTTCGAGGCTAGCCTGGTCTACAGAGTGAGTTCCAGGACAGCCAGGGCTACACAGAGAAACCCTGTCTCGAAAAACCAAAAAAAAAAGAACGTCACCTTGGAAGGGAGAGTTCCTACCACTCAGGCAAGCCAACTGTCATGCAGCCAGAGGGCTTCCCGTATGAGACCTGGGGTTAAGGCTGAGATGGCAGAAATAAGACAAGCATCCTTGCTCACAATCCCCTGGTCACTCCTGAAAAGCCATGGTGCAGCATGCAGGTGTCGAAGGCTTGTTCTCCCGAACACTGCCCCTAAACACACACTGTCACCTGCTATTCCTTCTGGTGTAATTCAGAAGCCACATCAGGTTTGCTGTCATTGTGAGTTCAGTTAATGAGTTTAAGAAGTGAAGGCTTGGGGTCGGGGGCAGGAATAAATTTATCATTCTACCCCACAGTCTTGTAAAAATGCATGCCAATGTTTTCTGTGTTAAAAGGAAGATAACAGCTTTTGTTGTTGCATTTCTGAAAAAAAAATGAAATTAAAACAGAAAGCAGCCTAGGGAATGAAAGACTGTAATTTGGTTTGAATTGGAGGCAGAGATTTGAGAAAGAAAACTCCTCTTAGGGCTATTTAAACATATGCACTTACTGGAAAATCCACGTTTGTCTCTATCAGTGGTCACTTTAAAGGATTACTCTGTCACAGCTGCCCTGCTGTGAAAATGCCCTTGGGCATTTTCTTGCCCAGGAATGACAACTGTCACTAAGGAGCCAAAGGGATGCATCTGCAGAGGGCCAAATCTGACTTAGACACGAAGAGATCTAGGGCTCAGTGCTACGCTTGTATGCCAACCTACATAAGATTGCAAAGCAAGAAGACTAGTCCTTTGAATAGTTTATCAGTGGGTCTTAAGACAGTTTACAAAGGAGAAATTTTAAAAGCGCTTAGCACAGTGATGACACAGCAAGAAAGGAAAGAATACTGCTTACTATGCAGACCAGGCTGACTTTGGATTCACGGACCTTCCTGCCCCTGCCTCCTGAGTGCTGGGATTAAAAGGATGGCCACTACGCCTGGCTGAGTATCTATTTTCAAGGTCACAAAGGACACTTTTTTAAAAAAGTCATGGTTAAATATTTTTTATGAAGTTCCATATGCTTGCATATTAAATACCTTTGGCTGCTGCTTTTACTAGAATCAAGCTGAGGAGAATATTAGAAATACAATTTTCATGTCTTTGGCTTCAGAGCACAAGGAACATATGTGTCTGCAGATTACGCTGCAAATGACATCATAGATACCAGGAGTGGTGTGGTAGCCTGCGAGAAGATAGCAGGGCAGATGGGAAAGAAAGCAATGGGTCATTCTACTGTTGGAGGGTAGAGGTGTTCAAGTATTCATCTTTTAAGATGGGCTGTACTTCTTCAAAATTCCCATTTTTTCGGAAGTAACTTTTATTAAATTTCAATGAAAACTTTGGGTCCACCAGTATTTTATTTTACAAACATGGATGCAGTCACCCTACTTTAGGTCATCTGGTCAGAAAGCTCAAGAGAAGACTGATAAAGAATATATTATGTTCAAATTCCATACTGTGTGCGGTATAGCGCAGTGCGTGCGTGTGTGCGTGTTCATGTGTGTGTGTCTGTGTGTGTTTGCAAATGTGGAGGTAGGCACTGGTGTCTTTCTCACTCACTTTCTATTTTTTGAGATGGGATCTCTCATTGAGCCTGAAATTCAATGATTAAGCTAAGCAGGTGTAGTCAGCCATATCCAGAGCTCATTTCTCTGCCTCTGTTACACTGGAATTATAGGCACCTGCCTTTTATGAGTGTGGCGGGGATCAAACTCAGTCTTCATGGTTGCTGTACAAACAGTTCATATTCTTAATTATTCTGCCTTTCTGTGGGGCCTCCACAGGCCATAGCCAAACAGGAAAGGACAATCCTGTGGAAAGGAGAGGCAAACACCAAAATGCGAGACGCCAACCTGTTGCCAGCAGCCAGCTCCAGCTTGCCTCAAGCAAAAGTTGCCAAAAGCCAAAGTTCTAATGAGACTGGGTGGTGGGGAGTGAGATATTCCGCAATTACAAAACTATTTATTGATTAAAACTAACGAGAATTACCTTACATTCTTTCCCCAAGCAGCAGAATTTCTGCATTTTCCTTTGCCTATAAAATAGCTCCAATGCTGTGACAGGAAAAGACAAGTAAAAAAGCTGAGCTTGGGGAGATGGCTCAGCAGTTAAGAGCACTGGCTGCTCTTCCAGTGGTCCTGAGTTCAATTCCCAGCAACCACATGGTGGTTCATAACCATCTATAAAGGGATTCAATGCCCTCTTCTGGCACGAAGGTGTGTATGCAGACAGAGCACTCCTATGTTTAAAATAGATAAGTAAATAAATTTTAAAGAAGAAAAGCTGGGTTTTGACAGATGAGTGGGGATTCACTGGGGCAAGAGAATACTTCAGGGGCACAGAAAATGTGTTACTTTAATTTTTTTTTACATACATATATGTGTGCTTCTGTCTGAGTGTATGCCATACGTAGGTAGGTGCCGGTAAAGATCAGAAGAGTGATCAGATTCTTTGCAGCTGGAGTTACAGGCAGATGTGAGCCTCCTCGTATGGGTGCTGCGAACTGAATTTGAGTCATCTGGGAGAGCAGGAAGTACTCTAACCACTGAGCAAGCTCTCCAGCCTCTGAACATTGGAAAAAAAATATATATATACATACATACATACATACATACACAAATACTGGCGATTAAACCTAGGGCCCTTGTTATGCTATGACCCTTTGATACATTGTGGTGACCCTCAAGCATAAAATTATTTTCATTGCTACTTCGTAACTGTAATTTTGCTGCTGTTTGAAATTGCAATATAAGTATCTCTGTTTTCCAATGGTTTTAGGTGACCCTTGTGAAACGTTTGTTTGAACCCCCTAAAAGGGTCACGAGCCACAAGTTGAGAACCACTGTGCTAGGCAGACAGGGCCACTGGGTTTTATCTCTTGCAATGTTGTGTGTGTATGTGTGTGTGTATATGCATACATGTGTGGTTGCAGGTATGCCAATGTGTGTGTATGAGTGCGTGTGCTCACACATGTCCATGCAACCTGTGAAAGTCAGATGATGGTGTTGGAGCTCCTGGAGCTGGAGAGGGTGCCACCTGATGTGGACATGGAATCTGAACTCAGGTCTTCCAGAACAGCAGTAAGCGCTCTTAACTGAGGACCCACCTCTCAAGCCTCAATTTGTGTAACTTCTAAAAGAACCAATTGAATTTGTGATATATATTTATAAACCCGTTTATAAAAGCATGCCCTTTAAAAATAGATAAACTAGTGTGCTAATATGCCAAGATAATGCCGAGATGGCTCTTCCTTTGTTATCAAATGATGTGGAATTACATGAAGCAGATGCCACCTCATTCTCTGAGTCTGGAAGTCTGAGCTGTCACAGGCAGGAGCTTGAACTGGTGGCTGCAGGGTGTCCTCTCCCTCCTGCAGTTTCAGTTCCTTGATGTCCCTGCAATAGATATTTCTAACACTATGAAGGACTTCCTGGTTACATGGGTTAAAACTTTATATAATAAATGAAAATACTTATTTGAAAATTGGTATGCTTTAAAATAGCTACTGTGTGTGTTGTGAACATTATATTGTACTGTTACCAACAGATCTGAAAAGTTATTTTCTTTTAAACAACACTGTCTATAGCAGAATTCTCATTTATTTAACAAATGGGTTCTGAGGGGGCAGGAAATGGAATTTATATTCAAAGTACAGGTTGGTAGATAAATTGAAATAATTGGTTGTTCTTGTCTGCAGGCATAGCCTATAAGTGTTCTGGGACTGGTTCCTATGAAGCATGCCCATTCTTAGGGGGTCATTAGAACATGGGAGGACATCCATGCGTAAGTTAGCCTGCCCGACCAAAGCCGTGCTTCTGTTCTTCAGGTCCTTTACTGTGACTAGTGAGTGGAACTTGACATTTTTCCTTTATAGACTAGTCCCACCAGTTGCCACAGTAAAAGAAACTCATTTGGAAAAAAACTCTGTCAAGAGGAAGCCATCTAAAGGAAGCAACTGTGGACATTGTGAGTTTTCCCAGAAGTCTGTCAGTGTGAGAATATACCCAGACATCAGACTCAGCGATTCGTATATAGACAAGTGCTCTGATTCTCAGCAGTGTCGTCACCAAACGTGCTTTCGTTGGGGATCGCAAAGGAAGGTAGTATGAGGGGTGATGACTGGAAGTCCTGAGGATGTCGGCATCCATGAAGATGCTGCTGGTGTTCACACCGAGTGTTGTGCTGGATCTAAGCAGGATGAGCACACTAAGTACTCACGAGCCGCGGCCTCCGAGGCTGCTCGCTCTTCTCACTCCGACACGCAGTACCTAAAAGCAGTTTATAAACTACGGTGGAGGAGATAAAACAAGGCTGAACTGTTGCCCGTTTTTAAAAGAAGTATTTCTCTTCTGTGAGTTATTTAAAACGCAGTGCAAGTCATATACACGAATAGATAGTGCTTGTTAGTTGCACCAGTAAAATAATAATTATCAGCATGAAGTAAAAATAAGTATTTATTGCCTAAAATGCTGAACCAACATTTTCAGGGTCATTTCTCTATGTACAAAAATGGGAAGACATACTAGACATACCTTATAGTAAGATGAGTTGATAGTTTCGGGGGTTTAAAAGTTAGAAAACTATAGAAAAGAAAACAGAACCAGAAGATGAGTAGCTACATACAGAGATATCTGGCAACAGTTGGGAAATGTTGAATATTTAAAGCAGTATGTACATACACAGAGGAACATTCAAACCTAATGAGTCTTAAACTATATTAGCAAGAGCATGGTTTATTTCCAACAATTTAGACATAAGCAAACCTAAGAATGGAAAATAAAGAGTGGAGGGCAAGGATACTGCTTTCCAACACTATTGGCCGTAATTTCCCAAAATGTATGGTAAATTAAAAAAAAAACAACAACAACTGAAAAACAGCTTGTATTAAATTGTTTCAAAAGATGATCCTTATTTTACTTTTCTTTGGAGCAGGATTGACCTGGCCCTACTCCATGTTTAGGTATTATTTTTAAAAATTATCTTCGTACAACAATATTCCTGGGAATTAAAAGCAGGAAAATTACAACTTTATTCAGAGACAGAGAACAAAACTCAGGGCAAGGGCAGGAGACAGAAATCACGCTCAGCTTTCCGAGTGAATATGAAAAACCAGCTTTGCCTCTCTGTGCTCATCAGACATTTGAAACCAACAAATCACACAGTTTGCATCACAGAAACTGGAGGCAGCCGAGCAAACTGCTCTCATAAGGGAAGGAAGAAGGAAGCACAGATGAGACCCCAAATCCTGTTAGAGGGTATGTTTAACCACCAGCGTCAAGGACCTCCTCTTGAACGTTCTCAGTCTCCGGAGAGACGGAATACACTTCTCAGTGACTTGGAGAATGGGAAGCAGCGAGGCCAGTGAGGCCGCGGGATCGACCGGAGCGGTAGGTATGCGCGCACGTAGCACCAGTGTTTTCAAGTAAGTAAGTTCAGCCTCAAATCAGCTGAACTCAGGATTCACATTTTATGCTTTCTCCACGACTTGCCAGAGGGCAAAAGCTGTGGACGGCTTCAGCCTGGCTACTCAGTGGTGGCGGGGACTGAGAGGCAGCTTTTCTGTGGCTGAACTGGTGAGTCTCGGGGCTCGTAAGGTATTTCCAGGTCAAGCACTGTAGACTCTGCTTGCCTTAAACACCAAATTTGGGACCACCCACTTTTCCTCTTCTTTTTAAAATGGCTAGCCTTCCTTTACGAATGACAACCTTTGCAAATGTATATACATACACTGAAAATACATGAATAATGAATTCTGGAGATCAAAGGATGCTGTTTCCTTATGAGAAATTATTCAAAGAAAGTGGTTTTAGAAATAATATAACTAAAAAATGTGTTTTAAGTCAATTTAATACCCCTGGTGTTTAAACATTGAGTTTATTGTCTGATGATGTGTAGCTTACATTTTAGATTCCATGAACTTCAGATCCTGAAGCTTATTGAAAAAACTAAGTCCCTTGATATGGGAAATTCTCTCTGGACGCACTTTTAGACGCTTACTATTTTTCTGCTTTCAAAAATACTTTGATTCTCTTTCTATATATACTATTAACAGAATACCCCATAAAACCATATTTCAGATACATATTTTATAGTGCAATCTGTTTCATACCCAGCATTTTGGGTAAACTTTGCAAGAGCCAGTTGTCAATCATTCCCCTAAGTAAGGTTTCATATAGCATATTGAGATTTACGTTGATGTTCGCGTTGTGAGCTATTTTCCATGGGTACTTTCACATCTTCGTAGTGGAGGAGACTGGAGGAGATGGCGCAGGCGCCCTGTCTGGCGCTCCCTGCACAGGGCTCACCCTGTTTCCCTCAGTCCCTCTCACCAGTCAGATTCAGGGGAGCTAGTGTGCAATCCAAGGGCATGGACACTAGCACTGACTAGTTAAAATTCTTCCTCTCAAGTAATAAAAAAAATATAGGTAGATATACACAGAGATCTGCAGCTGTGCAAATTACTTCAAAGAGCAGACACAAAGAAAATAAACACTTGTTTCATAGGTTTAAATTCATTTTAAGTTTGCTATATTAAATTTAAAAATTAAAAAAATATCAACTTACTATAAACAATTTAAAATATGTATAATAGAACTTCATGGTGAAAGTGCGAACAGTCCATGGACAGTCCATGAAAGCAGGACACACTTTGATCTGACATCTTTGCTTATGCTCCATATGTGATTTTCCACCTGCCTCTTCTAAGAGAAACCATAAGACAGCCTAATTTTGCAGCAACCAATTTTTAAAAGAGACTTCCTCAGCATAGAATACTTAATTACTTCACAGGGGTGATAAAAAAGAAACGAATGGGAAGTAAGTGGTTCTCTCCCTGTCTGTCACTGTTGTCCCACAAACGCATTCTGTACAAAGCCACCTGAACTTCCCAACCCATTTACAAATGCATTCTCAAAAAGTGGAGTTTAGAGTCTAAAAGTGTTACTTTGTACACTGACTATACAATATATACTGAATGTGTACATATTCACACATGTCTTAAAGATAAGGTTCTCCAAAAGTTTTTCGGCATTCCATCACGCCTGTGCTTGGTGGTCTGTCACAGTTATGTGTACTCTTGACTTGACTTGGTGTGAGACGATCATATGCCATCTTGTATTCTTTGTCAAATGCATCTGCAAAATATCATTAAGAAATAAAACAAAAAAGTTCATGTCTGATATTGACCACAGTCAAAATGCTGTAACAAAACCACACGATTAGGGGCCAGGAATGCAGCCTCAGGGTGCTTCTGAGATCCACAGGGTCAGGGACACAGAACCTGAAGGAGGGGAGCCCTAGGACGCTAAGCCTGGGCTAGGTAGCACAGGACAATTTTGATCAAGCATCAGTGCTAAAAACCACTGAATACCACACACATAGTTCTTGTAATTTGCTTTTCATGGTCAGTCACACAGTTTAAGAGCAGGTGGTGGAACAATGGCTGTCACAGTCCAGCAGTCAAGGTACTGGGGAGCTGAGGTGAGAAGATGGCACAAGGCCTGCCTGGGCTTCAGCACAAGTTCAAGAAGAACCTGTCTCAAAACAAGGAACGTGTGCTGGGAACACAGAGTGTGGTGGAGCGCTTGCCCTTGGTGGAAGCCCTTGGTTTTAACACCAAGAAAGAGAAAAAAATCATGGTGATTTTCCCCAACAAAACAAGCTTAAGAGGAAAAAAATGGATCGTATTTTCTTTTAAGATTTAATTTTTTTATGTCAAAATTTTAGTTCTACCTGGAATTTATGTGTTTTTATCTAAGTTTCCTACTGTGGGGACTTGGTAGGGAAAGTGTAGATTTTAATTTTGATTTTTTTCAGATATTGTCTTTCAATGTAGCATAGGCTGGCCCAAGCTGGCTTGTAACTCATAGCAACCTTCCTACCTCAGCCTTCTGAGAACTAGGATTATAGGCACGTGTCATCATGCACAGCCAAATATCTTCTGCTATCACCCTGAAGCGACTTTTCCTTCTTTTTCATAGCAAACAGGTAGCATTCCTATTAAAAGCCTGTGGTTTTATAACTATTACTGTTATTCTTTCATTTTGGCAGCACTGGAGGTTGAACCTAGGGCCTTCCTTGTACACGATAAGCACATTCTGTGACACTTAGCCACAGCCCTAGCCCTTCTTAAACATTTTATTCTGAGACCATTTTATTCTACATTTTCCAGACTAGCTTGGACTGACTTTGAAGACAAGGCAGGTCTTTAACTTGTGATTTTCCTGCCTGAGCCTCTTGGGTGGCTGGGATTACAGGCCTGTGCTACAGGCCCAGCTCACTTTAAATAAGCCCTGGAGACACAGATGAGCTGTGAGTTACGCCGGGATTTTACTCAGGTTTCGTAATTCTGCTGTGGGGAGATGGAGACAGCCATATTGCCTTATGAAATGTGCACAGCGGTGCCCAGTGGAGACTCATGGAGGATGGCCGCCAGCAACACAACCAAGTACAGTTGTCTCTGGATGTTTAATGAAATCCCCCTGGGCAGAGGGCAAGAGTAAAGTCTGCATATGCTCTGGGGTTCTACTGGGTAGAAATAAAGGGATGGCAAAAGCAAGCTGAGAGCTGTTTCTCGGTACCCTTTCTGTCTCATTAGTCAAAGAATACATTCTTCATTTTTCTCAGGTTCTAGTGTCCTCCCCAGTGGCTTCAGTGATTGAAACTCATGTAATATTCTGGCATTCCTAGACAGTTTTATTAGGCATTTTCCCCACAGATATCAATGCCTTTCTAGACTCTATTTGGTCCTTCTGACTTTCCTAGCTCTTGTCTGCACTGGTCATTCTATAGTGATATGTGTTTCTACAAGGGAAAGCCAACTAATGAATACTTCCTTAAATATTCCATGACTATTCTTTTTCAGTCAGATAAGCTATGTAAATTTGAGATCTATTTTCCATATGCAGAATTCACCCATTTGTAACTCAGTCAAACTGAGCATGGTTGTTTTTCATTGTTTTGCTTTTTATAGATTCACAAGATTGTATGAGCACCACCACTCTCTAATTCCAGAATATTTCAACATGCCGAAAACCTCAAGAGCAGTCGGCAGCAGTTTCCCACTCATTCCCTTCTCCTAGGCACTGGCAATCGCAAATCTATTTTCTATCCGGACACTTCACACACTTCGAACATACAGCACATGACTTCCTGTGAGGTTCCTTGTGCTTAAGTATATTCAAGACTGTAGGTGCTGCCTGTTGGAGCACTCACTGTCTTTTCATTGTTCTTCTTTGGTGGCTTTCACTTTCAGATTCACATCCAGTCTTGATTAACCTTGAGCCCTCTGGCCTCAGCCTCCCGAGGGTTAGCACATCTACCGTGTTTAGCTCACCAGCTTTAACCTGTGGATAATATTCCATCAGAATATGCCGTCACATTTCATTTCTCCATTTGGACTTTCTCCCACTTTGGTTACCGGGACTGTCACAAATGTTTTGTGCAGAAGCCGGAGTGTAGGCAGTATCCCCAGGCATTAGTGTAGATGCAGGAACTCGTGTTAGCCTTTGGTGACACACAGAACTGCCTCTGGCAGCCATGTCAGTGTACCTTCCCACCAGTAAAGTACATGGACCCAATTTCTCTACGTCTTTCCCCACACTTGTTCTTTTCTATTGATATGTATTCTACAAGTTGTGAAGTAGTAACTACTTTTGTTTTTTGTTTTTGACTTGCACTTTATGCATGAATAAAGACACTGAACATCTTCTCTTGTGCTTTTTAGTCAATCTGCCTATCTCTTGTTGGAGAAACAAATGGTCAAATCCTTTGCAAAGTTTTAAATTGGATTGTTGTTGTTAAGTTATAAATGATTTTTTGCCCATGCCACAGTGTACGACCATAAGCTCCCCGAATATATAAGCACATTAATTGGACTTGGTGTGTTATAAAAAAATATAAAATTGGGAGGAACATATCTTGAGGAGACAGAAAGGACTGGAGAGAGGGGCTGGAGATACACTGCATACATGTACAAAATCTTGAAATTTTAATGCTTTTTTTGGGCTTTTTTTGTTTTGTTTTTGGAGACAGGGTTTCTCTGTGTAGCCCTGGCTGTCCTGGAACTCACTCTGAAGACCAGGCTGGCCTCGAACTCAGAAATCCGCCTGCCTCTGCCTCCCAAGGGCTGGGATTAAAGGTGTGCACCATCACTGCCCAGCTAATTTTGAAATTTTAATAAAAAGTTCTTTATACTGAATACTCTGTTTTTTATCAGATATACGATATATATATATTAATTAGATATGTGTTGAGTTTTGGTATTATCTTTTTAGTTTTTGATGGTGTCCACTCATGAACACAGAGTTTCAATTTTGTTGATGTCTAGAGAGAGTATGAGGTGAGTGAGTAAGTGTGTGTGAGTGTGTGTGAGTGTGTGTGAGTGTGTGTGTTTGTGTGTGTATGCCATGGTGCACTTGCAGAGGTCAGAGAACACCTAATAGAATTGTTCTCTTTGTCCACCTTTATCTGGGTTTTAGAAGTTGAACTTAGGTAGCCAGGTTTGTGCACAAAGCATCTTTACCTGCTGAACCACCCCCCTGGCCCTTTCCTTGTGTTTTTGATGGTACTTTTAAGAAACTGCCATCTATTCCATGGACATAAGGATTTAGGCCTATGTTTTTCCCCAAGGTGAATATATTTTTATCACTGTATCATCTTGGTAGATTGACTCTTGTTATAAAATGTTTTGGTCTCTCTTATTTGACTTTTGTACAGTCATTGTGGTTCTCTTTTGAGGATTTGTCCTGGTTAGTTTTTCTGTTTGCTTTTTGTCGACTTGATGCAAGCTAGAGTTATGGGGAAAAGGAACCTCAGTTGAGAAAATGTCTCCGTTCGATTGCCTGCAGGCAAGTCTGATGGGCATTTGCTTCACTAGTGAGGAGTGTAGGTGGGCCCAGCCCACTGTGGGTGGTCCCTTCCCTGGGCAGGTGGTTCTGGGTTGTGTAAGAAGCTGAGCAAGCCACACTTCAAGCATACAGGAGTGAACCAGGAAACAGCACTCCCTGCAGGACTCTGCTTCTGTTCCTACTCCAGGTTCTTGCCTTAAGTCCTGCCTTGATTTCCCTTAGAAATGAATTATGACTTGGGAGTTATAGGAGGAAATAAACCCTTTCCTCTCCACGTTGCTTTTGGTCATGATTTTATCACCACTAAGACAGGACTGCTTGTATGGATTGTCTTTCCAATTGTTTTACTTTCTATAGATCTGATTTTGAGTCTAAAATTTCTTGAACTTGGCATAATGTTGGTTCATAAATTTTAAAAATCTATCCTTCGAATCTGCCTTTGACTTGCAGAGTTTGCCTTACATTTAAAGCAGTTCCTGATCAAGAAGGGTTTGTATTTATAGTTTGGCACTTTTCTTCCTTGTTGTTTCCCTTTAAGGTTAGCTGGATAGTTTCTAGTAGATCACTCTTTCACAAGTTTTGATCCTGTCAATCTCTGTTCAGTCATTTTTCTAATTAAATATGAAAATAATTTGTCAAATTTCTTAGTTTTAAATCTCCAGTGTTTCAAATTACCAAAATAAAAAGCAAATATTCACAGCATTCTGCTTGATGTTTTCTGCTTGTAATATGAAACTTTTTTTTTTTTAATGGCAAGGGTAGGTCAGGACATAAAATACTTTTGGGAGTCAGTCTTTTCACAGTGGGACCCAGGGACTGAACTCAGGTCATCATGCTTGGCATGATGAGTGCTTTTACCCACTGAATACCATGCCAGCTCTTCTTACATTAGGTTACAGAATAACTTTCAGGCCTTGGTTCTCTCCTTCTACCATGTGATTTCTAGGGCTCAAACTTAACTTGCAGGCTTGGTTCTCCCCTTCTACCATGTGATTTCTAGGGCTCAAACTTAGGTCATCAGTCATGGTTCCCACATGCCTTTAATCACTGAGACCTCTAACCAGCCCTAATAGGCGAAGCTTTTAAGGCTGAGGCCTTAAAACAACTTGTTCCATTGCTGTCTTCTTTATGAGGAGATTTATTTTCTTCTAACCAAATTAGTCTGTTCTTAAAGTGTTAATTTAAAATATTAAACTCATCTGTCAGGCAGTGGTGGCATAAGCCTTTAATCCCAGCACCTAGGTGGCAGAAGCAGGCAGATCTACAAGTTCAAGGCCAGCCTGGTCTACAGTTCTAAGATAGTCAAGGTTGCAGAGAAACTGTGTTTCAGAAAAAAATTAATAATCTCATGGTATGCTCTACGTGGTCTTACTGAGCAACCAGTTACAGCACGCATGCCCACTACACACCAGCGTGCACGCATGCCCACTACACACCAGCATGACTCTGTTGCCATGCACTTGTGCTCGCATGCACAAATCTACAAACAGATAAACACATAAATATCATTTTAAAATAATACATCCTAAAGAGTTGCTAAAAGTAAAAGATTAATTTTTCTAACAAGTTAATGCAAAGATATAATGAAGACCACCAATGAAAACTCTTTAAAATCTTCAACATGCTGTATGTTGTGTTTTGTACAGTTTTTGCAGTTTGTACAATAAACTATGTTATTTATGACATTGAGTTACCTATATCAATGTTTTCTCTTCCCAGTGCCACAAGTGAGAGAAATAATATTTCTCTATATAAACTCCTGTGGGCAAAAAGACACAGAGAAAAAAATTAGAATCCTTGAAGCTGTTATGTTGTCTACAAACCCTTTTATGCTACATAGGCACAGAGCGGTATAAAACAGTAAAGCAAACAGGATGCTTCTCACGAGAGAAATAACACCCTCATTTGAGGGAGAGACTCACCGCTGTCTTTTAAAGTGAGGACATTTATTCAGTGTCTCTAAAATCTGACTCATGGGCCCGTAAACATCGTTCATTTTAATGCTTCTCACCATGCTTTTCAACAGTTCCTGGTTAAAGGAGTTATCACTTTTTTGTAACAAATGGACCATTGGATACTTCTGAGCTGTAAAAGAGCAGGAGGGGAGATGGTGGACATGTGGACATGTTCTCTGTAGATGGGAGAATACATTGAACATCAACTAGCAACTGTTAAAGACGTTACAAAGCATTAAAAATAAATCAGGGGCAATAGATAAAGAAACAGAAGTTTAAAAATGAAAGAAGCAAAACAGGAAAATAAGACAACTAATGATAAAAATAGGTCTGCAGAGTTTTGTGGCCTCAAACATAAAACTATAAAATAGTTTTCCTTAACACAGCTCCCAAAGGAAAGTCTCCATCAGCAGCCAGGGATGGAAACAAAAAATAAGGTCAGAGGAGACTGGGACAAGCCAAGCTCTCCAAGCTGAACTGCATAAAACACAAGCAAGCCTTTCACCACAGACAGAGCAGCCCTCCCAAGGGAAACCAGGAGCTCAGCTCCACAGAAGGCACCACTAGCAACCGGTTAACACTCACTCTCAAACAGAAGAGTGCGGTTGTGACCTGGAAGACAAAAAGCAGAGATGCAGTCAGTTCACAGCGGAGGCTCTTTAAAGCTTGCAGAGACGACTCTACTGAAGTCAGCACTCTATAACAGCACTTACTGTGGGCATTCCAGAGGATGTACAAGGGCTGTCCTGGATCCTGATGTAATTTCATGTTGTCCCATAACATCTGTATTAAAACATACTTGCTATCTTCAGACATACAGTGGCGAGGAATCTGGGTTGTAAAATAAAAATTTATTATTGATCCTTATATAATTTTGTAAATATTTTATAAAGTCTATTTTAGGGTTTCCATTGCTGTGATAAAAAACATGATTAAAAGCATCTTAGGGAGGAAAGAGTATTTCAGCTCATAACTCTCAGGTTACTCTCCATCACTGAGGGAAGTCAGGGCAGGAAGTAATGCAGAAGCCATGGAGGAACACTGTTTCCTGCTTGCTCCTCATGGCTTGCTTAGCCTGCTTTCTTCTAGCACCCAGGACTACCTGCCCAGGTGTGGCTCCACCCACAGTGGGCTGGGCTCTCCCACATCCACCACTAATTAAGAAAACTATAGGCTTGCCCAAAAGCCAATCTGATGGAAGCATTTTGACAATGGAGATTCCCTCTTCTCAGAAGATTGTACCATGTGCCAAGTTGACATAAAACTAGAAAGTACAAAGCCTCATAAAAAATTTAAAGACACACACATAGGAGAGAAAAAAGAACAGCAAATCATATTTCTACACATTTGATACCCACTGAAGGAAGACCTGCTGAGGTGAGAGGCTAATGACCTCTGAGCAGCAGATTTAACAAGGCACCTGAGGCCAATAAGAAAGGATATCACACAGGGCTAATCTTGTCCCTGCTTATGGCTTCACAGAGAAATAAACCCAGCAGGCCCATTCCCTACGCTCACTATTTCTCAGTTCAAGATCCTTGCCTAGACAAGATCATTATGGCTAAATTAACATCTATGTCACTCATCTACAATGTATTGAAAAAAAAAAATCAAAAGCACATGCAAGGTCACAGACATGCATGTACGAGGGAAAGACAAACGTTCCTGAGCTTAGAGCCTGCACTGGAGTGGTCCAGCATAGAACAGGTAAGAACACCCTTATAAAACAACATCCCAGTGCTGTGTAGCTGCCTCAGTGGGTTAAGTGCCTGGTGTGCAAGTGTGAGGACCTGAGTTCAAATCACCAGAACCTCTGTAAAAGCTGGACACAGCAATGTGAATGTCTGTAACCCCAGTGGCCCCAAGATGGGAGGTGGAAAGAGGAAATTCCTAGGATCTTGTGGACTGGCAAGCCTGGAGTCCACAGCAAAGAAGCACCAAAAGGCCTGGTTTCCAAACAAGGTGGGAGGGGGCACTGACTCCTGAGGCTGTCCCCGGACCACAGTGTGCACCTGTGCTCACATGCACAGACACACAGAAATGGAAATACAAAACGGCCAAGGATTAATCTCAGTGCTACAGTCCTTGTCTAACATGTGACGTCCTGGGTTTGATCCTCAGCACTAGTTTTTAAAACTGGGTTAAATAAATAAATGAAGATAATAAACTCAGAGTAAGGGAAGGAAGAGAGGGGGGTGCACACCTACAATATGAATTAGACACCCCTAGAACGTACTAATCTTTCTTATTTCTGAAAGAAGTATGGGGGGAACCAACTCATAAGCCTTTATGTAAGAGTAACTTCCACATTATTCCTCAAGAGATAACAAAATAATTACATTTTGTGTTATCTTGAGAAGGCTAAAACCATGACTGTATTACTGCTCGTCTGCAAATTCAATGGAAGACAGTCTGTTTGTGTGCTGATTCTGATGGCAGTGAAAATGTCAAACGTGAGAGTAAACATTACTCTGTGTCGTGAGGCAGATGCAAACACTGTGACGATGACCGCAGCATTGGCTCACCTTCGGACTTTACTCTCTTACCTTTGAATATTTGTTACAATGTTCGGAAGAAAGGATCAATCCTGGCAGGTTACTGGGCAGGTCGAGGCGCCTAAAATACCACACCAAGTTCCAAAAAACAATCGGATGATGGTCCACAAAGTCTGCCACTGTTATCGCGTGGTCGCCTTCATTTTCCAGTAAGCTCTCCAGTTCCTTCCACACCACCAAGGGACTAAGGTATGGGACAGTGACGGGGTCTGGACTTGGTAGGTGCCATTCTAACCCTAAGGAATCCTGTTGAAGAAAACATACATGGCAAATATAAGAATGAGGATGCACTATCATTCTGAATGGAAAACAGACATGAAGAGGCCTGTGGTTTCTGTGGGTGGAACGCTAACAGGACAGTATCATGGAGTAGGATTCCGTGACAATGATATAATTGTTCTATACTATATACAACAATAATATGATTGTTCTATATAAAGCTAATAATGTTCTTCAGGTCCAAGGGAACAGAACTGTGTAAACAATCACTTTACAAACAAGAAAAACACAGAACTACATACCGTAGGTCCTTGTAAGGTCGCTGGCAGGCTGCCTGTGGGAATGAGCTTCTGTTCTCCAGGATCGATGTTATCCAAGGGGCCACATGTGCTGATGCTTCTGGCCATGGGGAATAATGGGCATTTGGACACAACAGTTTTTGATCTGTGAGCAGGGATCTGGATACTTCGGGCACATGGATTTTCCTGCAGTTTAGATTTGCTTGCACGTTAAAAAAAAAAAAAGAAAAAGAAAGAAAGAAAGAAAAGAAAAAGAAATCCTGTCAGTGCCTAGACTTTCTTTTCTTATCTCATCTTATGTAGAAGAACCATGTTGGTTTTTAGAATCAGAGCTGGACATAGCAAAACAAATCAAAGGAAATGTGTTACTGGGTCATCAACTAAGAAATAAGACATATTTTAAGCAGTGTGATGATTGGACCAAACAAACTTTTAATTTTGAAGATTCATTTCATTTATTCAAAATGTTTAGTGAGTAGATTTTACACAGCATCATGACTAACCCTTGATAAACACTATAGAGAAAATGGATATGTATTCTTTCAGGAGCTGCAGAGAGAGAGAGAGAGAGAGAGAGAGAAAGAGAGAGAGAGAGAGAGAGAGAGAGAGAAGAGAAGAGAGAGAGAAAAACACACACACAGAGAGACAGACAGAGACAGAGAGACGGGGGGGAGGGGGAGATAGATAGAGAGAGAGGGAGAGAAACACAAGGGACATATGAGAGACAGTGCATACAGAAATTTTGGGTTTGAAAGTCTAAGTCCTTATGACCGAGTGGATGTGCTCACCATGCCCGTACTACACAGGCATTTTCTTTTTCTGCACACGCAGCTGAAACATGGCTTCACCTATTTGGCTACATATGGTGAGTCTGGCACTTTTGCAAAAAAAAAAAAAAAAAAAAAAAAAAGAGTCAAGTTTCTGTATTTAAATATATGTTGGGATTCAGACCCGGGACAGACAGCTGAGGTGCATATTTAACACACCAAAATGAACCTGGCCTCCATGTTCTCCCAGCATCCCTCAGTCCCTGTCTGTCATACCCTGCCCTCCACCCTGAACTTTCCATCCTAGGGACTGGGCTTCCCTTCCCTAGAGGCCCTTCTCTACACAATCCAGTCATCATGGTCTCTTCTCCTCCCCTCCCCTCCCCTCCCCTGCTCTTCCCTCTCTTCCCCTCCCCTGCCCTGCCCTCTGCTCTGCTCTCTGCCCAGCTCTCTCTGTGTGCAAGCTTTCTCTCTTTCTCTTCACCCTCACCTGTGTCTCCCTCCCCATGGCAACTTCCCTGGCTTCATTCCTTGGGATCACTGAACTTGGTCTAGAGTGGTTTCTCAATAAACCTGCCTTTATATATATGCCAATCTGGCCTGAATTGGCTCGTTTCACTGGTGGAGAAGTAACATCAATATAGATTACTTATATTGGGTCACTATATGTGCTTTTAATTTTATAGGTCTATATTAGCTCCAAAAGTTTTCTTACACTACTTTTATGCCCCTACAAATTGTATCTTAAGTTTTAAATTGTTTATTGGCTATAAATGCAACTGATTTTTTCATGTTGATTTCTTTCTTTTTTAAAAATATATATTCATAAACAGAAAATTAAATATTCTAAAATAGAACCTGGTATTAATTCCTGAAGAGACAGAGAAAAAGCTAGTCACAGTAAACTTCAAGTGTACTACTTTTATTTTTTTTCATCTCTAGATACTGGTAAAACAGCGGAGCATGGTAGCATATTTGTAACAGCAGAACTAGGGAAGTGGAGGCAGGAGAATAAGGAATTTAAGGTCATTTTTAATTACATGGCAAGTTAAAGGCCAGGCAGGGTTATACAAGACCTCGTCTCAAAACAAGCACATATATAAACAAACAAAAACAAAATACACGTAAACAATATTATTACCTTTGAGGTTCATGAAGTTTAACCTAGAAACGTTTAGACTTAAATAGTCACTAGAATACTTTAACATCACTTTAGTCAGGAGCAAGGGTCTGAGACAACGAGGGGCTAGAGACAGAGTGGAGAGCATTTGCTGCTCTTGCACAAGACCCGGTTTGGTTTGTAGCACCCACACGGTGGTTCATAACTATCTCTATTTCTAGATTCAGAGGACTTAAATCCCTCTTCTGGTCTCCAAACATGCATGCAGGCAAAACACTCATGTGTATAAAATACAAATAAATAAAATCTTAAACAAATAAGTGTAAGATAATGTTTTTCCCCATAGGACTCTGTCTCTCCATCCATCCATCCATCCATCCATCCATCCATCCATCCCAAGTGGCGTCTTGTTATATAAACCAGACTATCCTTAAACATCATCCGTTCTCTACCATTCAGTGATTAATTACAGGAATGTACACTTTCGCAGAAACTTATACCTTAACATGGTCAGCTTTTCTTCTTTCATATATGTATCATATATGTAGTTACAGTTCTCCACAGCCATACTTACTTATTTAGATCAAAATTCCCTTGAACAGAGAGAGAAGATGTGTCAAGACCAGAGGCCGAGGCTGACAGGCAAGGCTGCCTTGTCCGACTCGGGAAGGAAGATGTGAAGTGCATAGTCTCTGCTGACGAGCTGGGCTTCAAGAAGTATCTAGAATGTGAATCAAAGACATTTTGAGAAAAGAAGTGTTCGAGGAAACAATATCTGTAAGTGGAAAGGAAAATGGGGCATGGTCTGTTACCTTCCGGGTCGTCTTAAATCTCTGATTTCCACATTCAGGAAGGGTAAGAAGAGATTTCCGCAGAACGGGCATGTAGTGTTGAGATTTGAGTCATCCGCAGTCCAGCCAGCCATGATTTCCTCATCGTGGACAAGACAGTCACATGTTCTACACCGAGAACAGCTTGAGATGAGAACCTGGGGAAGAGAACATTTCATGGAGCAAGCTGGTCTGCACAGGCTACAAATGAAAACACACTGAAGTGATGAAACCCCTTAAACATCATAAAGACTCCAGGGCAATAATCAAAAGCTCTGAGCACATACAGCCACATGCTGTGCACAATGACAAAGCCAGTGTGTGCCTGCACATGCTGCTGTTGCTGTTCACAGGACATAAGTCCCTGATGGCACAAACACAAACTCCACATCAGTGTTCATTTGTATTCCAGCAGAACCCAAATCCCTTCATGTAAATTAGTGCGAAATAGCACCACATTTAACAGAATATTCAGAAGCAACATTTTTCAGAAAAAACAGGGAAAGTTTTAAAGTATAAAGTGTAACTTTCCCACTGTAAGGAAAGGAGAAATCTTCAAAGTGATTGAGTGAGGAAGGTCGGCGACAAGGTCAGATTGTGTCTTCACTGGCTTCAAATTTGTTTTACCACAGAACTGGTCACGTTATGATACAAAATAAATGTTCAAAGAGAATGTGTGTATAACAAGCTATAAATACAAATGCTGAAAATGAAAATGCTTTTATATGTTGACAAATCGCCACCAAGCATGAAACTACCCTAATAAACCAGCATGACATCGATGACTAAAACATTAGGTATCAGCAACCTGGGATGTGATAGCACACTTTCTGAAATTTCTGAGGATACATATTCAACATCAGTCACTCCACCAACAACCATCACTACTAAGGAAATGTGAATTTTATAAAGCAGTGTACACAGGTGCTCTCATGAGGAAGACAGTACCTCCATTGCATAGTTCTGGAAGATATTGGTATTACTGGTGTTAAGAGAAGATGCAGTCTCTGATTTTCCAGGTAAGGCAAACTTTGACAGGGATCCTGATTGAAAAAAATAAAGAGCAAAACCATGAAAACTGAAGAGGAGAAATCTAAGAATCATCTTTCATAAATTCTTTGTTCTACTAAGCATGCCAACAGTAACTGAGAGAAACCAAATGATCATCTTCATCATTTTCCTTCCTCCTTGTCCTCCTTTGTTTGTTTGTGTTTTGTTTGTTTATTTTGAGCCAGGGCTTCTCAGTGTAGCAGTTCTACTTGTTCTAGAACTCACTATGTTGGCCAGGCTGGCACTGAACTCACAGAGATCTGCCTACCACCGCCTCCCAAGTGCTGGGATTAAAGGTGTCCACCACAACCACCCATCTGAGAATATCTTTTTCAATTAAAAAAAAAAATGGTGTAGACTACTAGCTCACCTAACTACTGGGGGTTAGTTAAGATTTTCAGCCTCATTTCTACAACAGAATACACACAGAAACAAAGCTGAGACATGCTCTGCACAGGCAAACACAGAAGCTGGTCAACATGCTTGGTCAATGCATGTATGTGTGTCCATGAGTGTCTGTGGTATGTGTATATTGGTGTGTAGCATGTGAGTGCTCACATGGAACACACATGTGGAGGTCAGAGGTGAGCTTGTGACGTCAGTGCCCTTCTTTCACCATGGAGGGCTGGGAGCTACAACTCAGACTATCTGGCTTGTGGCCAGCAGCTTTACCCACTGAGCAGTCTCACCTGCTCCAACAGAGTTTGGCATACTGATGAGACCACGGGAAAATAGGCATTTTTACATTCAGGTACTGAAAATGCAAAGTAGCATGCCATCTGTGAAAGGAACTTGGAAATATCATTTCAAGGATAAATTGGGAATTATAAAGGTAATGAAAATATGGCACATGTAGCATTATTCAAACTGGAAATTTAGTGCTCAGCCGTGGGCAGTGTTTGCAGTAAACTGATCCGGCCGCCCATGAGCTAGGCCACTGTGAAAACGGAAAAGGGGGCAGTCATCATGTGCCTGATACCTTCTGAGTTTCAAAATAGTAAAGGTACATAGGCTGTGTTTACATTTTTAAGTGAAAAAATAGAAAGAACAGAAGCAGACAGTACTCGGGATGGAGACAGGAGCCTGCTGCTCTGAGAGTGCCCTGATTTTTCCCTCCCACCCCCACCCAATTTTTGTTTGTTCGTTTGCCATGCAAATCTTTTAAGATTAAAAAAAAAAATCAAATTACAAAGAAAGAAAGATCCTATGAATCGGCAGTACAACAGAAACTGGGCGAACCTTCTAAGGAGGCGGAGCTTCCCAGGCTGGCCCGGCTGACATCAATCCCCTTGGTCCCTGAAGCCGCACTGCTTTCTTGGGAGGAAGTGGCTCCTTCCAACTCATGGCAGACATCTTCATCTGTCAAAGAGGTAGATTCAGAATCCTGGGCTCCCACTGAAGAAAGACTGGTACGATCAGAACTTTGATCCTAAGAACACAATTGTAAGCTTAATTTCTTTCACATTGAAAATTATTATTTAAAATTCACTTCTCAGATATAAACAACTACCTACCACCACCTTCCACCCAGATGAGCAACATTACAACATCCGCAAGAACAGCAGCCAACTTTACAAAGGCTATTATTCTAGATAAGTATGTTGGAGATCAACTATCTCCAAGTGCATACATGTGTGTTTGTGTGTGTGTGTGTGTGTCTGTGTTTGTGCATGTGTACAGCCCAGAGGAAAACCTTAAAAGAGCTGTTGCCCAGCACTTGACCACTCCTTTTGGACACAGGGTCTCTCATGGCCTGGAGCTTGCTAAGCCAGATGGCCAACAGTCCTCAGGGTTCTCTGGCTCCCTGCAATTGCTGTAAATGACAAGCACATGCCACTGCAGCTGGCCTTTTAAAAAATATTCATTTATTTAAAAAATACTTCATTTATATTTATGTATACGGCTATTTTGCTAGAATGTATGTCTGTGCATTCAGTACTCACAGAGGCCACAAGAGGGCATCAGGACGTCTGTGTGGGTGCTGAGAACCTAGAACATACCACCCTGAATGTGCCAATCTCTAAGGTTCTAAGAGCAGCCAATATTCTTAACCACCAAGCCAACTCTCCAGTCCAGTGATCTTTATCCTTGATTCATGAATTAGTTAGAACTTTTGATTTTTGACACTGCACTTATTAATAGTTTTAGTTTGATTCTATTGTGGTCAGAAAATATTTTCATTAAAAAATTTTACTGAACCAGGCAGTGGTGGCGCACGCCTTTATCCCAGCACTTGGGAGGCAGAGGGAGGTGGATTTCTGAGTTCGAGGCCAGCCTGGTCTACAGAATGAGTTCCAGGACAGCCAGGGCTACACAGAGAAACCCTGTCTCAAAAAACAAACAAACAAACAAACAAACAAACAAACAAGGAGCTAGAGAGATGGCTCAGTGGTTGAGAGCACTGACTGCTCTTCCAGAGGTCCTGAGTTCAATTCCCAGCAACCACATGGTGGCTCACAACCATCTGTAATGGGATCCGATATCCTTTTCTGGTATGTCTGAAGACAAAGACAGTGTACTCATACAATAAATAAATCTTTTTTAAAAAAATCTTACTGAGATATAATTTATATGCTATTAACATTCAGAAAATAAATTTCACAAAAACTGACTTCAAAAATTCAAGAAATTTTCTTATTAAGGCTTTAGAACTTAGCTGAATTAAAATTTTAAATCGAATTAAAATTTTTACATTTATTTATTTTGTGGGGGAGGGAGTATTTGCATACCACAGCAAAAGTGTAGAAGTCAGAGGATAACCTACAGGAGTCAGTTCCCCCCTTTACCGTGAAGGTCCCAGGGGTTAAACTCAGGTCCTCAGGCTTGGCAGCAAGAGCTTTGACCTGAGTCACCCTACTCCCAGGCCCAACTGAATTAAGTTATTAAAGTCATATACTGGAGACCCTACGGTGTCAAAACCTTGTGTTGAGCCATTATAAATGTCTTAAGAGACTTTAGCAAGGCAGTCTTTATGCTGACAGCTATTTATAACGCTTCCTTCCTGGAGATCCAAGTTTTCTTTTTAGTAACAATTTCCTCGGCCTAAACTGCCATGAGCACAGCTTACAGAGAGAGTCTTGTTTTCTATTCATCCTTCCCTTGTCTGAAGTGTCCTTACTTTACCGTCAGCTGTGGGGAGTATTTCACTAGATACAGACTCTGCACTCAGGTGTCTTCTTTCAACACGCTAAAGACGCGTTCTCACTCAACTCTTCCCTTCATGGTTTTATGACAAAAATATGCGGTCATTCAGATGTTTATTCCTTTAACAATTTTTTTAAAAAATAATTTTAAAGAATTAAGGCAGGTGGTGGTGGCACACACGTTTAGTCCCAGTGCTAGGGAGGCAGAGGCAGGCGGATCTCTGAGTTTGGGGACAACCTGGTCTATAGAGTGAGTTCCAGGACAGCCAGGGCTACACAGAGAAACACTGTCTCGAACAAAACAAAACAAAACAAAACAAAACAAAAGTTTGAATTGTTTCCTTATAGATGCCTTTGGTTGTTAGCACTTTGCTTATGATGTATACAGATACATTTTTTAAAAATTACTAGTATTTTTGGAGGTCTGTAGCACAGCTCATGTGTGGGGGGCAGAGAATAACTCTCTTCTGCCTTTATATGGGTTCTGGGAACTGAACTCAGTTACTGGGCTTGTGCAAGTGCCTTTACTGGCAGTGAGCAATCTCAATGGCCCCAAATGTGGTTTTAGGTCAATCCTTTTGTAGTTTGGTGTGTCATGTCTATCTGTAAATTTGTATTTTTTTTTTCAAATTTGGTAAGTTAAAGTATTACTACTTCAAGTATCTTTTCTGCAATACTCATTTTCTTCAATCCTTTGAAAATAATAACTATATCCTATTTACACCTTTCATACTGTCTAACAAGGCTTTACGGCTGTGTGTGCTTTTTAAAAGACTGATCTCTTGGAGCCACTGGATCCCTTAGAACCAGAGTTATAGACAGCTGTGAGTCACCATGCAGATACTGGGAATGGAACCCAGATCTCCTGCAGGAGCAGTAAATGCTTATCTGCTAAGGCGTCTGTGTCTCCAGCCCCAGATCTGTGCATCTTTACACTTTTCCCGTCATCTGTATTCTATTCTTGAATCTATCTGCTGAGTTTATTTTATGCTATGCAAGCAACTTTACCACTGAGTTATCCCCCTGCTTCTGTTTCTTGTTCTGTTTTTCTTTCCTTTTTTGTTGACAAGGCTTCCCTCTACAGCTTTGGTTGTTTCGTACGGCTGGCTTTGGTTGTTAGCTGTTTGCTTATGATATGTACAGAAGTGTAGGTCAGAGGACAACTTCCCTTAGTCTACGCCTAAGGGTAATCTGTCCTCAGATTCCTGACCACTGGAACTAAAAAGTGTGTACCACTATGCCCAGCCTTTCTGGTTCTTTCTGGTTCAACATCCTTTTTTAGAGAAGGTTTGATGTAGCCCAGGCTAGCACTATACACTGTAGCTGAGGATGACCTCAGCCTCCAGATTCCTCTGACTTTATATCCCATGGGATTACAGGCACATGCTACCATGCCCATCTATATCATCACCACCACCACCACCACCACCACCACCACCACCACCACCACCACCA